TACATAAGCAAAAGAATAATAAAGTCGTAAATTTTAATAATAATACTAACCTGATTGGTTTTCGAAGTTATATATATCCATGGCAAAAAAAATAAGAGAGCTATTGTGATGAATGAAAGGTAGAAGGAATAAAACACTTGAGAAAGAATATGAAAAAGAAGATATAGGGAAAAAAATATTAGGAAGAAAGAGCGAACGATAATGATCAGTTTATAATTTTATCAGTGGCTTAATCAGAGGGCGATTTCGTTGATCATCGCTTAGTAATTTTATTGATTAAAAGCGAAATTAAATTGCATCGCGACACTTATTATATAATCTATAAAATTTTACAATATAAAAATCAATTACGTCATAATTTATAGGGGAGCGACACCATTTTTACGATTTTATATGATTTATTTATAGTGATAATTTTAAGAATCGCAACCCGCGATATAAATATTTATTCATTATATAATATTAATATACTTTTTTATTTATTTAATATTATTATAAAATTTAATTCAAATATAATTTTTTTGAAATTCTAACTTTTATTATAATAGATTAATATTATTAATATTTAAATTTTAAATTTATCTTCTTTTTAATTATAAAGATATTTAACATTTGTCTGTAATGTAACCAATTTTTATTTTTGATTAATAATAAACTTAAATATAAGTTATTATAATATATTATAATTAATTAATTCTAAATAAAAAATAAAAAAGTATTTTGTAAATGATTCTTTTATTTATTATTTAAAACAAATGTAAATCAATTTACACTTATATAAAATTAATTTGTTACACTAATTAAATATTTAGTTATAAAACTAACTAAATATAAATATACTTGTAATATAATAATTTAATAGATAAATATGATAAAAGAATAAAATTAAAAAGAAAAATTAGAACTAAATTTTTGATTTTTGGCAAAAAAGTAATTTTCTGACAGAAATTACCGCCAATTATCATTTGATGTAATAGTTAGGAATATCATCTGAATTTTTTAAGGTGAATAACATTTCGTATATATTTAATCATATTAAATTTAGTAAATATCACGATCACATTGTTTAATAATAATATAAATATTATAATTAAATTCGTTTTCAATGTTTGTATAAATAATAATAATGAAGCTATTTCAAGTATAAAAAAATTTTGTAGAACATTTATGTCCACATCCAGTTGGACATTCATTATTTACCAAAAACCATTCTTGCATATGGATAAGGTGTCCTCCATGGCTGCAACCTTGACACCAAGTATATAATCCTTTCACTGTATTATGACTTTATGATCAAGGATTTAATATTAATAATATATAATGAGAGAAAAAATTTTTTAAAATGATACGTACCATATTGAACAGGGATTTAGCATCTTCCGACATTTTTCACATATCCAATATCCACTTCTATAGTTAAGCATTGGTCTGAAACAGTTGTTACACGTCGTATATATTGTTGTGGATTGCTGATAGATAATATATTATCATTTCTAATGAGCTTTGAATAAAACAATAAATTTGATAATTAGCGTAATAAATTCAAACCTGATTCATCATCTCAACTGAAGAAATTTTGCTAGATGAAATGATATGTGTAGCTCCACACCAGAGTTGAAATCTATGTAGCAATTCTTAAAGGTAAAATTTCGAACGTTTATATAGTGAACATTAAAATCATTATTATAATTAAACAACTCTTATAATCTTGTAAAATTACCAATATAAGAAAAAAACCATTGTTCTAATCTCTCCTGGTTTATTTTAATCCTATCACCAAGTACTAAAACCAAAGTGACACACATCTGTACATCACCCTGATTATAATTATTTGTTATTAAATTATGAATTAAAAATAAAAAATTAGGATAACTCAAATCAAAACCTGTTCTGCGTAATAGTCTAATAATTGTGCTATCATTGGTTCTTTATCCCAGTTCCGATATAATGTTGAATTATATGTTGTCTGAACAGTACGACTTGTCATTTTAATAGAATTACGTGGAGATTTTTGAACATCTTCATTATCAGATTCTTTCACCCGATTTTCCTCCTCTTCTCCATCAGATTCAAATAATGAATCTTCATCCTTTCGATTTAGAATTTTCAAATTATTTTCTGTAAAATAAAAAAAAATTCATCAAATAAAAAGACTTACTTCAACCAGAGTCTCGTTGGGTTTTTCCGTTACAGTATTTAAATCTTTATTTAAATCTTTTAATGATTTTGTTTCCACTGAAGGATTAGTGAGAAATGACTCTTTTAACAAATTTTCATCAGTAACTTCATTTTTATAAAAAATAATAAATAAAAAAATTTTATAGAAATACATTAGAAATACATAAAAATTATTGAAATTTAATACCATCATGAGTAGACCCTGATTTGTTCATAGGTTCCAAATTTCCATATAAAAGCTGTATTATTTTCCAGGTTTGTGCAGTTCTAAATCTTTGAACATCCCATGCAATCTTTTTAATGAAATAAAAATTACAAATTAAATAATAATCTAAATATTTATTATCACCAAATCAAATTTACCTTGGCATTATGTTCACATGCGGATACAATATCAAGACTTGAAATTATGTAATTTTCAGCAAGGTATGAAAAGGATTTGTAATCGAAAGTGGGAAGAGAGGCAATACCAGTTTTTTGCTGTAACTGATAGTGACCCTATATTATTAAACACAAAAAAAAAAATTAACTATATAATATATTATTATACGCAATTGGTTATTCATTAACAAACTGCAAATTTATACTTCGTTACGAGTTTCAATGATAATAGGAGATATTCTCCTTTGCATAATCCTAAATTGATTGCTTGGAGATGATATTGACCTAGATCTAAAAAGAAGGCATGATAATAATTAATTATAAATTAGCAAAATAGTCTGTTAAATTTAAATAATAAAAAGTATTTACTGGTCTTCCGAATCATTTGGTTTTTCAATAGCAAATGCAATCTTGTCATATGCACTCCATCCAATACTACATTTGCTAAGCATATTCAATGGGCGATAAGAATCTTTCATGTCTTGTTGAATAAAAAATTTATCCTTTGAACAAGACCATAAAACCTCAGAATCATGCCATAAAAATCCTATAATTAATAGAAAATTTAATTTAGTAAACACAAAACTAATGAAAGAGAGCATATATCACCAACTTAATTTTCAATACCCGTTGGCACGTCATCATGCTCTTCGAAGCAATAACTAGCAATAAAAGGTCTCTTTATGTTCCATACAAAAATTCTATTATCACTTAATAACGCGCATGAAGCAATTTCATTAGGATGATTAGGTCGCCATTGAACGCGAGATATACTTGTCATGCTTTGAATAGCGTCCCTTGGTCTCCTACTATCCGAGTTCATATCCCATATCTAAGTAAATAATGAATTAAATAGATTCCATGTAACGAATTGACTATATTATACATACTTTAATTGATTTATCGCGCCCACCGCTAGCAATAGTTCTTCCGTCAGAATGCCAATCTACGGCAAGAACTGAACCTATATGTGCATTCAATTTTCTTTCATGTATAATCGGTTTTCTTATATCCCATTTCTTGAATATATAAAATATTTAATAGAACGAATCATCTTAATGAATTACCAAAATACATATATTTATTTGCTAACCTGGATGGTTCCATTTTCAAAAGCAGCAGCAAAATCATTTGTATTTATTGAGTTAAATTGAACATCACGAACGCTTTCACATTTGCCTTCAAAAGTAAACTTTGCGGGTTCTGGTTCTCTCAGGTCCTAATAATGAAATTAGTTGAAAATTGGTTTAAAAAATTTTTTATATCACATGATAAATCACTCACCCATAATTTCATAGTATAATCTTGAGACGCGCTTAAAAGTATTAATCCATTCGCAGGATTAAAGCAGATCCTATTTACCGCACGTGAATGTTCGTTTATTCTCCGATCTATAGAAAAAGATTTGTAAATGAATAATTAATAATTTTAAAAAAAAATCATCTCAAAATTACTTACCTATTTTGGCACGACCATTCCCTATATCCCAAATGATAATTGATCCATTAGTTGCTGCCGTCGCGATTTTATTTTTTGTGGCTGAAAAGCAACCAGTACAATTATTCTTAATTCCTGGATCGCGCGAAATAATGTGTAAACTAACAGAATTTGAATTAAATATATTCTTTAAATATTAAGTTTGATAACACCATTAAACTTACAGACATTGCCCCACTTTACATCATTGCTGCTATATTTATTATGTCTATTCTTGAGACTTATTTCTTCAGTAATTTCTCGTTCAGAAACGCTCAGAACTTTAAGAACTATTAATGAATAAATTTAGGTCAAAGTTTTAATTACCATAAATCTTTCAATGAAATAACTTAATAAATACCTTCTCGGCCTGCTACAACTACATGATTATGATCTGGTGAAGCAGATAAAGAAGTTAATGAGCTGTTTAAACAATGCTTTATCACAAAATGATTCTGATCTTTTTCCAACAACGAATCTCCAATAGAAGATTGAGTTGTATCATTCCAAACATGGTTTGTTAATGTAAAGGATGGAGTAAGTTGAGGATTAGCAATGAAACCAGCCTCTGTACTAAAGTTGGGCCAAGCAGGAGGAGTGGTGGCCGGTGTCGAGGGGCGCTGGTCTGTAAACCAGCGTCCAATGACAGTCTTTGAACGATCTGACATTGTTTTTAGAAACGAATTTTAAAATAAGACAAGTTCGTAAAAACGATAAGTTCAAGTCGCGTTGAAACCTAGAGTTTATGTTTCTGATAATGTTGGCACATGACCAGATGGCTAAGTCGATCAACATCTAGTTTGATATGTATTAATATCACAATATTCTTTCCAATATATTTAATCTAATAATAATTTATATCTTATATTTGAATATACTCTTTTTTTAAAATTTCTTAATAATACTTATTTTATTAGAAATCAATAATATAAATTTTAATTATTAATCTTTAAAATTAATTTTAAATTAATCATATTATTAATGACAATATATTAATATAAATAAATATTTTTGAAATAAATTTTTTTTAATTAAAATTATATTGTTAAATTAAATAATCTTTAATTTTGAAATAATTAATTATGATACTTACTATTTCTTTAATACTTTTTTTTTTAAATTTATCATTACAATGTAAAATATTTATTATACATTTTCTTTAATTGCACTTAATATTATTAAATTTTTATTATTTTAAGAATTTTTATAAAAATTAATTAAAATTAAAATATTACTAGCTATTTTGTTATATTCATTTTTCTAATTTCAAATAAGAATCCAATCTAATTTAAAATTTTAATATATAATTTTATTTATTGATAATATTTACAATACAATTTTATATTTTATTTTTAGTTTATTAAATAAATCTAACTTCTAAATAGAAGTAATTCTAGAAATAATCTAAAAATAAATATTAATTAGTGATATACATTAGAAATTAAAAGTATTTTTGGATTTCTAATTCTTTTAATATTTTCAATTTCAATAAAAAGTTATTAAAAGTTTTCAATACCTATAGAACATATAAATTTATATTAAGTGAAATTGATAGTTAAAGTTGTTAAATAAAACCTAAAAGTTTTACAATTTATCTAAATAGAATAAGTAAAATTTAGCAAAATTATATTGTAACAGGACTATTATAACATAATTGATCTATATAATGCATTATAAATAGTTATATAAGTAACGTAGTTAATAGGATTGACTTAATAAATATATTTAATTTATATAATACAAGAATATTACAGATCTAAATATCAGACATATTGGACATATTTAATATATTTGATATACTAGACATATTTGATATATTTGACATATCTAATATATTTGATATACTGAATATATTTGATATATTTGACATATCTGATATATTTAATATATTAGATTTATATTAAAAAAAGTATATAAAGAAGACTAAATTCTTGACAAGAAGGTAACTATTAATTGCTAGATGCATTTTGATCAGTTCAGCAATAACTATGTACAACCCCTTTTTATAAAGTAGTGTAAGGCTACTCTTTTTTATTTTGTGATTAATTCTTCTTCCGTATTCTCTTAGTTTAGTATTTTTAGCTTATAATTTATTTATTTACCAATAAATCTTTATTCAATTTACTTAAAACATTTTGTGACATTTGTATTTATAACGTAATT